ACTCCGATATGGCTATTGGAGTACGGCAGATTTGTTTTATGTAGGCAGGTGGTGGTGAGCCACATGTGTGCCAGGGTTGTTTATCTTTTTGGATTCGTGAGCCGTTGCCCTCTTTCTTGTTCCTGGTGCTATGGAGGGTGTCTGGGGCTGGTTGGGGGAGGGGGGCGTGTATGTTTCACTGCCGTCATTGCAGTGCCTGCCCTAATTGTCATGTCCCCATCCACGTGCTGCAGGTGCAGCAGGCCTCCGAAGGTGGGGCCGACATCCAGCCGGGAATGGAGGCGGGTGGCCACCATGAGGAGGATTTGGTGTCCATCAGGGAGGTAAGATGGGAGGGAGGGTCGGGGCTGTTATGTGTTTTATGTGGGGCGTTAAAACGCTGTCGTACTCCGATATGGCTATCGGAGTACGGCAGATTTGTTTTATGTAGGCAGGCGGGGGTGGGCCACATATGTGCCACGGTTGTGGATTTCGTTGTGGATTCGTTACCCGTTGCCCTCTTTCTTGTTCCTGATGCTATGGAGGGTGTCTGGGGCTGGTTTGGGGAGGGAGGCGTGTATGTTTTGCCGCATGTATGCCTGCCCTAATTGTCACCGCCCCATCCACGTGCCTGCGAATTGCAGCAGGCCATGAAGGTGGGGCCGATGTCCAGCCGGGAATGGAGGCGGGTGGCCGACCATGAGGAGGATTTGGTGTCCATCAGGGAGGTAAGATGGGAGGGAGGGTCGGGGCTGTTATGTGTTTTATGTGGGGCGTTAAAACGCTGTCGTACTCCGATATGGCTATCGGAGTACGGCAGATTTGTTTTATGTAGGCAGGCGGGGGTGAGCCACATATGTGCCACGGTTGTGGATTTCGTTGTGGATTCGTTACCCGTTGCCCTCTTTCTTGTTCCTGGTGCTATGGAGGGTGTCTGGGGCTGGTTGGGGGAGGGGGGCGTGTATGTTTTGCCGCCGTCATTGCATGCCTGCCCTAATTGTCATGTTCCCATTCACGTGCTGCATGTGCAGCAGGCCTCGGAAGGTGGGGCCGACATCCAGCCGGGAATGGAGGCGGGTGGCCACCATGAGGAGGATTTGTGTGTCCTGCAG